AATTATCCATTGTCTCCTATCCCATGACCCTGGCTGAAAATAACCCTAAGTCAAACCTCCCATTCACATTCTTAGCATTTACATCGCAGATGCCGACGGGGAAATAAAAAGTGTACAACTCTATAGATGGGTCCCACTATCAACTCCTAGACTCCAATCTCAGCTAGACCCTGAGTGTTCCCAGGTCCTTCTAAAACCCCCTACTTCTCTTATTCTCGCAACAGCTTTTCTACTCAGAGGAAACAGAAGCCATCAGTGTTAGCCATGCTTTCACTCCCCTCCGCCTTTTCAATACTCACTGTTGAGAGATTTGGCGCTATTTATTATACCACCCAGTAACAAACACAGTGTCTTACACATGAGGCAGCTTAATAAACATATCCTGAACAAAGAAATAAATAAGCAAAAAGCCATTTAATGAATTTATATAGTACTAAGCCATGTGACGATAGGAAGACAGAAGAATTACTTTTCCTCAAATCATTGTTTATTCCACTGGGGGGAAAAAACTGCAATTCATAATTATATCATTAAAGGAAAAGATAAAAATGCATCTGACGAACACGTATAAATGACATCCGTAAAAATACCATTCAAAAAATTACCTTTTCAGTTCCTGTTCCAGTTTTTCTATTTGTTTTTTGCTGGAGTTCAGTTGTCCTTCTTGGAAATTCACTTGTGACTCCTTGACTTGAAGTTCATGAGAAATTTTCTGCTTGGTCTTCTCCAGATTCTCACATACTTCCATCAAGCTCTGGTTCTCCCTTTTTAGGTTTGCACCCTCAGTTTTTTCCTGCTCAACCTAATGGAGATTGTGCAGAAAGAAACGGGTCTCTTACTTTGTGACTCTACCAAGCATTATTTGTAAATCTGAGCTCAACACTGACAACTAATGTTTCTGAGATGTGGTTGCTATAATGCACATGTCAGTGCTTCACGAAGAACACAGAAATTTTAAATGACCCCACCTGGTAGCCTATAGACAGAAAAGTTCTACAAAGTCATGGATTACATTATCTTTGGTCAGGGCTACACACGTACCTTTCCTAGAAAGGGAGCCTTTAACGTCCTTTCGAGATAACAAAATCAAAAATAAACCCTATAAACCTCCCTTAGCAATTCATTTCAAAGTCTGGCTGCTAAACTCAGTTATTATAAAAATTCTCCCACTAGTGAAGACATTTTAGAAGCAGTGACTATACCACTACCTTGTTGGCTCATGCAGAGGTAAGGAAGAAGCACTGTTTAAATTTTTCATTTTCTATTTTGTTTTAAGTTTATTTATTTATTTTGAGAGAAAGAGAGCATGAGGGAAGGGCAGAGAGAGAGAGGGAGAGAGAAAATCCCAAGCAGGCTCCGAACTCCTACATGGGGCTCGATCCCATGAACCATGAGATCACGACCTGAGCGGAAATGCTTAACTGACTGAGCCACCCGGGCACCTCTAAGTTTTCATTTTCTAGCCCAGAAGAGAAGAGGACTGGGAATACCAAGTGAAAAGCCCACTATCAGAAAGTGATATCCATTTGGACTGCAAAGGGCTCTAACACTAGCCCCTAAATTCGGAGCTGGAGAATTTTGGCCATGTGGTACCGAGTACAAAAGTAATTTCCAACGTGTGGTCCCAAACGGAGTTAAAATGGAACTCAGCAGCTCTGAATCTTAGCAGGTAAGCAGAAATGAGGACACAGGATGAAGAAAATGAGGCAATTAAAATACAAATGACTGAAAAAAGGAGAGGGGCGGAATACCACCTGAAGACAGCGTGATCGTTTGTCTCGAAATTTCAGACCAAGCTCAAATACGTGACAAGGTTTCAATACCAGCGTTTCACTGATACCTTCTGTTTCTGCTTCTGCAGTGCGGCCTCCAGAGTCTCAAGCTGAAACTGCCGTTGCTGCCTTTCCTTCTTCAATTTGTCCAGCTGTCCTTCCAGCTCTTGAATTTTCTGGAGCGCTCTCGTAGGCAGACCCTCTTTCCATTCTTCCAAAGCCCAGCTCATTTTGCTCTCCTTTCTTTACTATTCACGCATTTATAAGTAAACTGAAAAGAGTAAGCAGACTGTTGGGCTTAACACGGTAAAAGGAAACTTACAAGTCTCAGAGACTAGGGAGTCTCTAAGGAGTTGCAAAACTTCGCATTTCAAAAGATAAGGAAGTATAACATCTATCTTCTCCATCCTCTGAAAGGTTACACCAAGAACTCTGAGGGTGAAGTACAGAAGATGCTTGTTCGGTTTCCCTGGCTTTGTTTTTCCTATTTCTCAGATTTCATTTCTGAGCTACCTTCCTTCTGCCACTCCATTTGTTTTTATTACACAAAACATGAGTATTTTGCTATGAGGTCTCAGGTGAAATAGATCCTATAAACAAATAAAACTCATGCTAAGTTATTTTGCAAATGCTCTTCTTTCCCTCTTCACATCATTGCCACATCTGGGAAGCCTTCCCTGGGGAGATCCATAACCTGGTCATATCTCCTGGTCATAGTCTCTCATGACACAGCTACCCTGTCTCTCCTTCCAAGCAGTTATGTGTTGAGCTAATGCATGAGTGAACAAAGAGTGAGTGTCGTATTGGTGCTAGAGTCATTGCACAATGCAGTAAAGACATGCTCCAGAGAGACCTTGATGAGGAAACCAGTATATAGACTCAGTGATTCAAATCCCAGCTCAGCTGTGTGTGACCTTGGGCATGTTATTTTTTTTTTTTTTTCAACGTTTATTCATTTTTGGGACAGAGAGAGACAGAGCACGAACGGGGGAGGGGCAGAGAGAGAGGGAGACACAGAATCGGAAACAGGCTCCAGGCTCTGAGCCATCAGCCCAGAGCCCGACGCGGGGCTCGAACCCACGGACCGCGAGATCGTGACCTGGCTGAAGTCGGACGCTTAACCGACTGCGCCACCCAGGCGCCCCTTGGGCATGTTATTTAACTGCTCTGTGCCTTGGTTTCTGCATTGGTAAAATATGGGTAATAATGGTGGTGACTTCCCAAAGGCTTACAACAGTACTATATTTCCTGATGAGTGTTCTACACCTGCTAGCTATTATATTTATTGTCAAAAACACTTCATTTATATATTTCAGCCTGTGGTACCAAGAGAGAAGTGGCCTACCTCCTTCTCGGCCACATCTTAGGATATTTAAATAATCTGGAAGAAAAGTATGGTAATTGTTCTTTATTCGTTTGCCTCTAGAACTTAAATGAAAGAAAAGCATTCATTTTCCAGTTATTTGGGCAACAAGGTGAGAATCTCTTTTACTAAATGAAATCCACAAACATTGTAGTGTCTTGCTTCAATTGACTTCACCCATGAAACTTTTTATCAGAACAACTAATAAACAGTTGGTAAAAGAACTAGGAATGATTAAAAAAAAAAAGATTCAAAAAAATTAAAAAACAGAAGCAAAGTTCTTGGAAAGCTGTGTTTTCTCCGCCAGCTTTTTTTTTTTTCTTTTTGCAGATCTCAATTCTTTGAACGCAGCATCTTAAACTCCACTCCTATTTGCCCAAAAACTGCTGAAAGAAATCTCATGCCTCTCCACCAACAAAGGACAATTTACACTGCCACAATAGGCTTCTCCTTCAGTTCAATCTAGCTTGCTCATTCGGGGATGGGAGTACAATACCCCAGAGGCACACAATGATAACTGTCCTAAACAGTTATGCTAGCCACTGAACTCATTACATCAGATGCCATCACCAACAAAATATTAAAAGGAGCGATTTAGAAAGATGATAGAGATGAGGAAAATAAACAGAAGGAAAACTGGCAAGTTGAATGCTTTTCCATTTCCAAATCTAAGATACTGCTATGAAGAAGTGGTTAAAACAATCATCAGACCCAAGCTACTTTTGATTACAGCATACTTTGACAGAAGAGGGCATCAATCACCAACAATCATTACCCAAGCACTGGGCAAATGACAAAAAATTGTAAATCTCCAGATTAAGATGTAAGAAGCAACAGGTGTAAAGGAGGGTGGGTAGTTGAAGAAAAGCCCTAGATGTCAAGGTTCCTGTAAGGAGGATTTTGCAGAAAATGCTCTATCTTAAATATGTGGAAGGCACTCTTTATGCCCGAATCAAAACACGCACTGTAGGCCCATTTTCAAGCTTTCCCTTTATCAGAATCTCCCAACTCCAACAAGAAAGCGGAGTCCCCGCCTACAGAGCAACGGCTAGGCCTAAGAGTTAAAACTCAGCCTGGTCCTCTAGACCAGGCTCAAGGATAGCACTCAGGTCGTTTCTTTCTGGGTCCTCATAACATAACAGAGCCAGGCACCCAAGCGTGCCCAAATAAAAGTGGAAGGCAGGAGAAATGCTCTCGCAAGAGGCAGCAGGCACACCAACTCACCGGGCAGATGAAAACCCAAGAAGCCACTGGCTGGGGACGTAGACGGCTGCGAGGAAAATACCTGCTGGTCCCCAATTCATTTACCTTATAATTCATTTATCACGAGGAAACCGATCCCCCAGAGTGCGAGCTCGTGAGCGAGCTGGGTCTGCGGACAGTGGTGCGAGCACAGCTTTCCCAGGAGCAGAGCGGCCCTAAAAACCTCACCCCGGCCAGGCTGATCCTCCGGTCCCGTCAGGTGGGAGGGGGTGGACCGCTACATCCCCTGGGCCAGGGAGCGCGGATGCCTGCGGGATCGCGGGTCCTCGGACAGAAAGTCAGCTGCTCCCCCAGGCCTGCAGCCGAAGCCACGACCCACGCAGGACACTCACCTTGCTGGCGGGGAGAGAAAGACGACCCGTGGGAGAGTCGAGTTCCGGCGCAGCCTCCGCGGGTTTCAGCCCAGGTTCCAATTCAAACTGCCCGCGGTCGCCACCCGTTTTCGATTCGCCCCCTTCCGGGACCGACGGCACTTACTTCCACGCCTATTGGTTGCCGTAAGTAGCTACAAACCAATCGGCTTCCGCGCACTCGGACGGTCGCTCTGATTGGTTCTTTCGGACGGATTTAAAAATCAAGTCCTCACCACCCGACCTGCCGGCACCGGAGTTACAGTGTTTTTTTGTTGTTGTGGGGAGGCGGAGCCCACGTGCTCTTGCAGAGTCTGAAGGCCTTTTGGAACCGCTATTTCCGCCAGAAAGTAGGAACCGGCCCGGCTGCTTAGGAGAGTGTGGTCTATCACCTACAGCCGGCGGAATTGTGCGGGCTGGCGAACATTCTTAATGCTGCGCACTAGGTATCTACTTATTTTTAAATATGTACTTTAGGACATAGATATGAGGTACTATGCCTGCCATGCATTCTTCGTCCAGTGTCATTCTTAACAATTCTTTGAGGAGAGTGTTTTCCATTTTATTTAAAAGGTAATTGAGGCACATAGAAGCTCCCTAATTTGAAATTGAATCTAGAGTATACAGGATGTCACTCTTAACTGCTCTTGTCCCGTTGATCGTATTCTAAAGAGGTGATTCTGAACGCTTGTTAGCTGGATTCAGGGGAGGACATTGCAGCCAGAAGCATCTCCAAAAGTAGATGTTATCTCTCCTTTATATGAAGCCCACTAGTTTTGTGTATGTTTGTGTACTTGTTTTATTTCCCTAGTCAACAAAAAATAAGATTCTAAAGACAGGAGCAAAAGAATGAATTGTTAAATTAATGGATCTCTGATGCTTTTTGCCCTCCTCGATACATTACAAACTTTCTGTAACCCTCTCTCTACCTTTCATTAGATGGTTACTGCATTTTAGATGGCCCTTTACCTTTTCTGCTCATCTTTCAGTACCCAGTTCAAATGCCACTTCCTTCATAAAAACTCCCTATTTTCACCCAGCTCTTAGAAATAACTATTTCCATGGGCCCCTGGGTGGCCCAGTTGGTTAAGCATCCCACTCTTGATTTCAGCTCAAATCATGATTTCATGGTTTTTGAATTCGAGTCTCATGTGGGGCAGTGCAGAGCCTGCTTGGAATTTTCTGTCCCTTTTTCTCTGCCTCTCCCCCACTCGAATTCTCTCTCTAGCGCTCTCTCGCTTTCCCAAAAATGAACCAACATAAAAAAAAAAATAACGATTTTCTATGTCTTTCTTAGAAATTGGTGTATACATTATATTTATGTCTGTCTCCCCTATCAGTCTTGAAAATTCCTGTGGAGTAAAATCTGTTTTAATTCATTTTTGTATCTCTTAACTTCCCAGTAACTTTGCACATAAAAATTAAGACCATCTTGGGATGTAAAACCACCATCTGGACCAAGACCTTGTTCTCCACTATCCTTGAATCCCCCCCACAAAGGGAGGGAGCCGGTAGGTGAGGAGAACTTTTACTAGATGCTGCCATGATCAGTCTAGCATCTGGTTGTTTTGGGATTTGAACCCAATTCTGATTCCAGCACCAATCACAATTCCATTGCTTCCCTGGGTAATTATTCAACTATTAGCTACCTAAGGAACCAGAAACACATATAATAGAGGATTTTCAAGGATGACATTTACTATTTATTTATTACTTAGTAGATAACTATTGGGTGGTCACTGTATAGCCAAACCTTGTACTACATTCATCTATAATAATCAGTAAAGAAATACATTGACTTCTTGAACAGAGGAACCATGTGATGGAGACTATTCTGTGATTTCAATTATGGTTTCCTTCCCCTGCTATTTTTCCCCGTTTTTTAAGGGGGTGAATCCCATCCAACCAAACGTAGATGTCTTATGAGAGTTATTTTCAACTCCCTCACTTTTCTTTTTTTTTCTATTTAATTTTATTTTTTATTTTTAAACATTTACATCAAAATTAGTTAGCATATAGTGCAACAACGATTTCAGGAGTAGATTCCTTAGTGCACCTTACCCATTTAGCCCATCCCCCCTCCCACAATGTCTCCAGTTACCCTCAGTTTGTTCTCCATATTTATGAGTCTCTTCTGTTTTGTCCGCCTCTCTGTTTTTATATTATTTTTGTTTCCCTTCCCTTATGTTCATCTGTTTTGTCTCTTAAAGTCCTCATATGAGTGTATGATTTTTGTCTTTCTCTGACTAATTTCACTTAGCATAATGCACCCCCATGTTTATAGCAGCACTATCAACAATAGCCAAAGTATGGAAAGAGCCCAAATGTCCACTGATGGATAAATGGATAAAGAAAATGTACACACACACACACACACACACACACACACTGGAGTATTACTTGGCAATCCAAAAGAATGAAATCTTGCCGTTTGCAACTATGTGGATGGAACTGGAGGGTATTATGCTAAGTGAAATTAGTCCCTCACTTCTCTTTTTAAAGCTGCTCCCTCACTGAGCCAGTCTACTCTCTGGGCTAATTTATTCATCCACCATCTCTACTTTCTGCCAATCAATCAGTGCTCTTGAGTCTATCTTTTCCTCTCCAGCTTAGATTGCAGGGTCCATCACTTAAACTACTCCTTTTACTAGTATCCACTCTCTTACCCCTTGTTCTCTTTGTCTCCCCAAACTTATATGCATGCACCTGTCCAGACCCTTCCTAAGAGCCCTATTGCTACAGAATGGGGCTGGTGAAAAATCCTAGGATTGTGCAGATAGGAACCACTTTAAATGTATGACCTCTAACTGGGACAACCCTTTGTCCCAAGTCCAGAATTTCTCTAATCTCCTCCAACTACCATCTCCACTCTGGCTCTCAGAAGATGACCTTATCTCTCAGTTCACAGAAAATGAAAGATCTGACAGGAACACCTTCAACTGCCTGTCACTGACATCTACAACCTTGCCCAAATCAACAACCATTTCTCTCTCCGTTTTTCCTGCTGCAACCACAGGAAGCATATTTCTGACTCAAGGCTGAATGACCACTCTGTGTTTGGAGCCCCTTGCATTTCAGAAACTTGACTCTCAATTATGCCCTTGTAAACTGGAATCATCCACCTCTCCTACTTTCCTGAATCTTCCTCATAGCACTTAACACTGCTCAAATATTTCCCTTTAATAAATACTTTCTCAAGCTACATTCCCTCCAGCAAGCATCACATCTCTCTCATAACATTCCATTTCCTTTTCAGGTTCGATTAAATAAGGTGTCATCCTCCTTTTAATCAATTATTCCCCACCCCTCAAAAAAAAAAAAAAAACACAACAACAACCATAAAAGTTCTTTCTCTAAATAAAAGCTCTCTGAATCCTGAAGACAATATAACCTATTATTTTAAGCAGCAATTTGTTTTTTTATTATGTCATAATGATGTTTCAGCTATAGGGAGCCTTAAGACATTTTAGTTTTACAGGTATGTATCTGATCTTGAGATTGCCTCCCTCACTACAATATAAGTTCTATGAGGCAGGAACAATATCGGTGGTGATGCTGGTGCTGGTGGTTGTTATTTTGGTTTGGTTTGGTTGTTATTTTTTATTTTTGAGAGAGAGAGAGAGAGAGAGAGAGGGAGAGAGCAGGGGTGGGGCAGAGAGAGAGAGGGAGAAAGAGAATCTTACACAAGCTCCACACTGGGTGGAGCCTCAATGTCACAACCTCAAGATCATGACCTGAGCCAAAATCAAGAGTTGGACGCTTAACCGACTGAGTCACCCAGGCGCCCCTATTCTTCCACCTTCTTATTTGCGACAATTCTGTGTCTACATGCTCTAGATGCTTCTCTTGGAGGCAGCACATGATTTTATTTTGTTTTTATCTGTTTTGAAAATCTATATCTTATATTCAAATTTTTATTGAGATGTAGTTCACGTAAAATACACTCATTTTAGGTGTATCGTGCAACGGATTTTGAAGAATACATGCACCTTTGTAAGCAACATCAAAATCAACATTTAAATAATCCTTCACACCAGAAGGTTTCCTTGTGACCCTTTCCAGGTATCTACCCCCCAAAAGTCCAAGATACACTCCAACCACTGATCTGTTTTCCATCACTATACATTAAATTTGTGGGGTTTTTTTTAGAGCTTCATGTAACTGGAATTACATTATGTAATTCCATTACTCTTTTGTGTCTGGCTTTTTTGGCTCAGCATAATATTTTTGAGACTCCTCCTCATTTATTTTTTTGAACTTCTTAATAATATTTCCTTGCATGGATATGCAATCAGGTTATCCTATTGATTGACATTTGTGTTGTTTCCTATTTGGAATTACGAATAAAGCTTCCATATTTTTGCATACGAGCTTTGTGAATGAACGTGGGTTTTCATTTCTCTTGTAAAATACATGTGAGTGAAATTACTGCATCAAATAGTAAGTGAATGCTTAACTTTTTAAGAAATGCCCAAAATCTTTCCCAAAGTGCTTGTATGTTTTACAGTGTATGAGGGTTCGATCTGATGCACATCCTCACCAGTACCTGGTACTGGTAGTCATTAATTTATGCCATTCTGCTCAGTGTGTATGTTAGCTCACAGTGGATTTAATTTGCATTTGTCTGATGACTAATATGTTGACCATCTTTTGATGTACCTATTAGCTAGCTGTATGTCTTCTTTTGTGAAGTATCTCTTAAAATATTTTGCCTATATTTTTATTGAGTTGCTGGTCTTCTCCCTATGATATATCATATATTCTGAACACAAAGCCTTTGTCAGATACACGATTTGCAAACATTTGCTCCAAATGTGTTTGATGTCTTTCAAAAAGCAGAAATTTGATTTTGATAGAGTCAATTCAATCTTCTCTTTCATGGGTCATGATTTTTTGAGTTGGATCTGAGAAATTTACACATATCTCAAATTTTCAAAGATGGTCCTATATTTTCTTCTGGAAATTTTATAATTTGAGTTTTTACATGTAAGTCTCTGATCCATTTTGAGTTTTATTTTTTGTATGGCATGATATAAAGGTCAAAGTTTACATTTTTCCATATAGTGATCCAGTTGTTCTAATACCATATCCTTTTTCTATTATTACCTTAGTGCCTTTATTGAAAATTAAATGAACACACAAACAGGGACATTATTTCTGCCTCCTTATACTGTTCTACTGACCTGTATTGTCTATCTTTACAACTGTATCATACTGTTTTGATTACTGTAGATTTATAATTAAGTCGTTAAATTAAGTACTATAAGCTCTCTATGATCTTTTTAAATTGTTTTAGGACCTTTTTAAATTGTCTAGGACCTTTATTTTCCATAAACATTTTAGAATAAGAATCCTAACTTTTCCAAAAGCCTCCTGGAATTTTGATGGTGATTGCATTGAATCTGTAGATCAATTTGAAGGATCTAAGAATATTGTATCTTCTGGT